TCTCAAGAATGGAAGAAAAAGTATCCAATGTACTCAACACTACTATGAAACTAATTGTTAGCTATCTTAGGAAAGCTACAATCCAAATGGAGCCCTAGACTACGGGGAAAGGGGGAGGATGGGTGAAGAGAATGATATTGTGGGGATCACGCCTATAATTTATCCTATTAGGGTACATGTGAATTTGTCTAAAGGTTGAATATAAATGTCTTAACACAACAATTATGAGATAGACGTGATGGCTATGGTAGCCAATTGGATGAGAGTTTTCCAAACTGCATATGGAAGCAACACACTGTATCCTACGATAGAATTAATGTACACAATTATGATCTAATAAAAAATAAATTTAAAAAAAAAAAGAAAATTTATTGTAACTTACTCAGGCACACTCCTTCAAGTATACTACACTTTCAGGAGAAACATGAATATAAGGCCAAAGGAGACAGAGACTTAGGAAATTGAGTTTTGACTTAATGGTAAGACATTTTCTTCCTTTATAACATTAAATGATAAAGGAATAGAAAAATAAGATTCTGTAGTTTAGTAATCCTGGTGAAAGCTCAGCAATTGGCTCTCAGCTATTTCAAACAGAACTAGTAACCAGTCAGCTGAGCAATAACAAGAACTTCCTTGTGGAAGGAAGAGAGAAATATCTTTTTTAGTGGAAAACACCGAATAATTTTTTTTTACACAGTCTGGATCTAATTATTAGTAAGTCTAAAGTTTTAGGTTCCAGTTACAAAAACTTTATGCCTGAATGACATTTTGCCAAAATGCAAAATGCTTCAAATGTCTCAGGAGTCATTGTGAGCTGCGAATTAAATTCTAATTAAAAAGAAAGTTATGACTAAGGCAGGCATAACTATGTAGGCCAAATATCGAGCATCGGGAAGAAAATAGTAAGATAAAAACTTTTAAGTTTTACAGGTAGAGATCTTCTTTCACAAGCCCCATATTGAATTAGAGATGCAAATACTTGTTTATAGCTGACCAGAAAATCCTGGACTCTTGTATAGTAATGTAAGATCTGTCCCAACCAAGAACATATACAGAAATTAACTTTCGAACTCTGGGAGGCCAAGACGGGTGGATTGCTTGAGCTCATGAGTTCCAGACCAGCCTGAGTAAGAGTGAGACTCCCGTCTCTACTTTAAAAAAAAACCAATCTAGCCAGGTGTTGTGGTGAGTGCCTGTACTTCCAGCTACTAGAGAGGCTGTTGCATTGCTTGAGCCCAAGAGTTTTGAGGTTGTTGTGAGCTATGATGCCACAGCACTCTATCTACCCTATCCAACGTGACAGAGAACTGTCTCAAAAAAACAATTAACTTTCTAACTCAAAGAAAGATCCCTTACACATCTTTTCTTAGCTGAAACAAGTGTCACAGACATGCAAATCTTTCATCATCATACCAGCATTTACCCAGAACATGCACATACCACCCATGGGAAATGTCTGAGTGTCATGTCTAAGTCCTCACTGGTTAACCTAAAATAACCATCCAGCAACACACATATTTGTATCTTAAACCTGTTAGATTGTATCCATGACTTCAAATCTGTGGCACTGATTATTCCAGAAGCCTCGATGTAACCTAAGCCACCCACTTATATTGACTCAGAACCACGTCCAAGGGCTCCATCAGATGTCAGGAGTCACTAAAGATGAGTCAAGCTGCCTCTTATAAATTATAGCTCCTAAGCCTAAAATACTCACAATTCTATACAACTACCTTCTTCTGAATGAAAGCAGCTGCTTTGAAGGAATCTTGCATATTTAATCAGAAGTACCTCCCTCCTAGAAATCAATTCAGCCAGAGAAAGTCACCTTTTCATGAGAAAAAGGGCAAAAAATGGTGCTTGTACTCAAATTCCAGTTGGACTCTAATATTAATAGGTATCGATTATTTAGTGTACACTGCAGGCCGGCTACCAAGCTGAGCAGTTATCAGCATTACCACATTTAAGCCTCAAAATGATGTTAGGAGAAGGAAACATCTTTATCTGATATGAGAAAACCAAGACTTGGAAAAGTGAAATCACCTACCATAGCTCTGGTAGGCTGGTAAGTGGGGGGCTGGCGTTAGAATCAGAGATGCCGGCTCGGCGCCTGTGGCTCAACCGGCTAAGGTGCCAGCCACGTACACCTAAGGTGGCAGGTTCGAATCCCCAGCCCGGACCCGCCAAACAACAATGACGGCTGCAACCAAAAAATAGCCGGGCGTTGTGGCGGGTGCCTGTGGTCCCAGCTACTTGAGAGGCAGAGGCAGGAGACTCGCTTGAGCCCAGGAGTTGGAGGTTGCTATGAGCTGTAATGCCATGGCACTCTACCCAGGGGGACAGCTTGAGGCTCTGTCTCAAAAAAAAAAAAAAAAAAAAAGAATCAGAGATGCCCAACTAGAAATCCCTGGGCCAATCTGGGACCCAGATTCACTTGACCCACTCTCCGTCTGTGAAAACTTTTAAACAACTACCAACATTAGAAAATGTTCATGGCTCGGCACCTATGGCTCAGGTGGCTAAGGCACCAGCCACATACACCTACGGTGGTGGGTTCAAATCCAGCCTGGGCCCGCCAAAACAACAATGATGGCTGCAACCAAAAACAGCCAGGCATTGTGGCAGGTGCCTGTGGTTCCAGCTACTTGGGAGGCAGAAGACTGGCTTGAGCCCAGGAGTTGGAGGTTGCTGTGAGCTGTGATGCCACAGCACCTTACGGGGGGGGGGGGGGGCACAGCTTGAGGCTCTGTCTCAAAAAAAAAAAAAAGAAAGAAAAGAAAAGAAAATGTTCACATAGAGCCAAGTGTGGTGGAACATGCCTATAGTCCAGCTACTTGGGAGGATGAAGCAGGAGATCATTTAAACCCAGGCATGTGAGAGGAGCCTGGGTGGTATAGTGAGATCCCCACCTCAAAAAAAAAGTTCACATAAAAAGTACAGATTGCCCACTACTCTTCGAAATCACATTTGGCAACAGTCCATGGGAATTCCTCAAGGCCACAACAAGCTGGAACCAAGGAGCTCCCCTCAGACCAGACATGGGCTATCCAGTTTGCCACAGTCTCTACCATTCCCTGGCATCCTGCATGTGAGCAGCTTTGTGTATCTGTCTCCTGCTGGGCCCTTCTGGCATCTGCATTTGTTCTTAAGCCCATGGCTAAGTCCCTAGGAACTCAGGGAAGGTCTCTGTACATAACTTTTCTGAATACCATGGAAGACACTTGACCTGTTCAAGCCTCCAAATACTTCAGTGGCTTAATTGAGACTGAGCTTTTAGCTCTGTTGACAAACCTGAACAGGTTCAGAAAATTCCCCAACCCCAAGACCTGCAGCGTCCTTGATTCACCATGACTGTGTAAGCCTTAGATTACTGAAAGGGCTCCATTCTTCAGCAGGCAAGCCAGTTACTTACTGTCATATCTGAAGGTGATGTTGTGCAGCCCACTGTTTCTGCTGGCTGGCCCCACTCCCTGTGGGAAAACAAGAGAACAGGATGCAAAGTGAAGCCAATTTGCTCTTCCAGTACAGATCCCCACGGAGTACAGTGCATGGAGTATTGGGGAGACCCAGGGTCATGCCAGTTCCTGACCACCACCCACCACTCCTCCTGCCTGCTCCATGGCCTTCTGACACCAAACTCCCTCCAGCCTAGGAGAGTTCCAGGAGTGAGCAGTTAAGAATGCTCACTTCCCTAAGACAAGAGAAGCAGGCTGTTCTGTTTAGGGGTTAAATAATAATTCATTAACAGTAAAATCAGGAGACCGACAAAGAGCTGCCAGCTGGAGCCCTTCCAGTTAGATTCACTTTGAGCACTGATTGGTTATAAAATGTGCCTACTCCAGACGCCTTCATCTGCAAGCTCTATTAAGCCAAGACAGATCAGCAATTCCTCCAGTCTAAGGAAACCAGTTTCTCATTCCAAGACTGGGAATGAGTGTGGGAATAAGCCATTATTTTTAATGAGAAAATTCTTCACTGCATCCATACCTATGCTTGGAATACATAAGGTGGGTCATAAAAGAAAAAAGACTTTAAAAGGTCTAACTCTTAACTCTTGGTGATGTGGCCGTTAGCCATCTGTACTCTTAATAGCGGGGCTAACAACTCCACCAGACTTCCCACTTTCATTCCAGCACCCACAGAGGGAATACCGAAACCCTTTCATTGACCCTGCCTTTACTAACCCACCACTTACCATCATGGGAAAAAGCAGCTATAGATCTACGGAATCTGACTTGTCTGTTTTTACAATAATTTGCAAATGTGCTGTATTAATTGCAGTATTCTCTAAAATATGTTAATTCTGCAATGCTAAATGATGGGAAAATATCCTAATCACACTGCTAAAGTTTCCGCTTAACAAGGAGGATGTGGGGGGAGACCATATGCTGGCAGCCTGGTATTTAACGGGCAGTTGTTACACTGAGACACAATATGGAGAACACTTCTGATGGAGCCCAGGGTTTCAGACCACAACCCCATCACATCCAGATGCTACAGGCATGTTCACACTGCTTAACCTGAGGCCAGGCACGCCCACTGAAACTGTATCCTTGAGCTCAGATATACATGGGCCTTGGGAAAGCACAGCTGTGCAGAAAGGGGCACATGGACAAGCACACACACGCACACATACACACACACTCTCTAACGTGAGGAATAAGCAGGACCACAAAACTTCAATCAACACGGTGTACCAGCCTCGTCTTCTCTCCTGCTTCGTGGTTTACCTGCCTTCTCCACCTTTCCTCCTTCCATCCTCTCTTCCCCACGTACCCAAGATTCCAGAATACCTCACCTGAACTGAAACGCTTTAGCGTGTCCATTACTCCTTAGGGACGAAGTCACAGTCTGTGCAACTAGAGGCTGCCCAACCTCCAAATGGTAAAGACCAGAGTAATTAACAACCAGGCAAGAGACCAGGAAGGAAACAATTCAATAACCCTCAACCTTTGATCTCTAAGACCAAAGCTCTGAGCCTTCCCAACAATGCCCTCTGCTCCCTTATAAACCCCCAGGATATAAACTTACTTACCGTCTATTATGAGCTAGAAAAATTACTCTAGGTGGCAAACAAAACAGCTACTGTCCCTGCCCTCATGGAATGAAGGAGCATGACGTGCATCCTTTCAAAGAGTAACTAGCCACATGGACCACACCTAAGACATACAGACAAATCTCAGATCAATCCCTGGCCCTCCATAAAGCCTAGTTTAGAGGGCAAAACAAGGTTATCTGTAGCTAGGGTGAAAGAGCCAGGTGGCCGTAAATGAATACACAACAAAGGAAAGGCTGCAAGGCAAACCCTGAGTAAGGATGAAACATGCCTGAAGCTTAAAAGAGGGAAGAATAACTGAGCTAGAATGGAGAAGAAAGCAGAGCAGCATCACGGAAGGGAAACAAACACAATCTAGAGGCCAAAGTAAGCACCACAAACCTCCCATCACCTGGTGACCAAGGGCAAACCACTCCACTGGGCCTGGGTTTCAACTATTTTTATTTTTTAAAGAACTCATGTGGCTTTCCTCTGGGAGGAGAATCACATGAAGCCACGTAGAAGAACTTTTCAAAAACGAAGCACACTCCATTTAAGAGTGTGCTGCGAGGTAATAGAGACTCTGGTGACCACTCACCTCACTTGTGGGACTTGGTCAGCTCTCCTTTCTCTTCCTGTTTCCCCTACATTTCTTGTGTTCGCTTCCTCATATTTCCCCAGCAACATGTTTTTAACAGATATTTATTAGGCAGACTAATGCATGGTGGAAAGGAGCCTAAGATCATGAGATGTGCTACATCACGCATGCAAGAACATAAATCCCTTCAAATAAAGTCTCTGTGATGTGTGTGAGCTGCTCAAAGCAGGGCTCAGTGAGGCTGTCTTGAAGGATGGTAAGTCTCATGCACAGCATACACTCCCCACAGAGCATTCCACCTTGGCCTCAGTCCCACAGGGCTGGGCACTCAGTTATGAACCAGATCCAGGTCCTGACCTCAAGAGCTTGATCAGGACCAAACTCATATGTCTGCCCTTACTCCCCTGCTCCAAGCCCTTCACTGGATCCCCATCCTCCCTAGACCACCCCTGATGTGACCCCTGCCTAACTTTCCAGCATTCCCTTCTCCACCTTCCAAACCCCTTGGCTTTGCGGTTCTGTCCAGAACCTCCACATGTCCCATAGAGCTCCCCTGGTCAGCAATCTGCCTAAGTCTAGCTCCTGTCACTTGGTGTTCCTGACACATCATCTGCCTGCATACCTGAATTGTAATTCACCCTATAATTTGAATAGCATAACACTTCTGTGAATGTAGATGCAAAATAGTAATTCTAATTCCACAGAAAACCGGAGATCATAAGACCTTGTGACCATCCAAGCCTGGTCACAAATCTTAGAAGCAGAGACACCATCCAGGTACAGGTTTTTTTGTGTACTTTAAAGATCTTTTAACTCCTGGAAGTCCTTGAGAGCATAGCTTCCCAGGACATGCATGACAAATGCTCCATTGGGTTGTCCTGGTGTACATGGAATAATGTAGAAACAACATTTCTACAGGCTAGCCCATGGAGTACTACTGTTTTCTTTAAACTTTGTGTGAGACAGAATGATAGCCCCCCCCCCAATGTGTCCACATCCTAGTCCCCAGAACCTCTGACTGTGCTATTTTACATAGCAAAAAGGACCATGTGATTAAGTTTATGGGTCCTAAGATGGGGAGAGTAGTCTGTGTTATCCAGGTGGACCCAATGTGATCGATCACAAGGGTCCTCGTAAGAGAGAGACAGAAGGGTCAGAGTCAGAAGGGGAGATGTGTTGATGGAGGTAGAAGACAGAGAGATGACTGAAGATGCTATAGGCTGGTTCTGAAGATGGAGAAAGGAGGGGCTGATGAGCCAAGGAAAACAGGTGGCCTTTGGCGGTTCGAAAGGCAAGGAGGGCCTTCTCCCCAGAGCCTCCACAAGGAGCCAGCCCTGACTTTACCCACATAAGACTATATTGAAAAAAAGAGGAAAAAAAAAAGATCTGTATTGAACTTCTGATTTCCAGAACTGTAACATCTATGTCATTTGAAGCAATTAAGTTTGTGGTGATCATAGCAGCAATTGGAAGCTAATAAGACACTTATACAATTTCAGCTGCAATGTGGATAAAATAGATTTCGATGTCACACATACTCACAACTGACTGCTTGTCACTGTACCCTCCCCAACCCTGGCTTCAGGGAGACAGTGATCCATCAGAGCTGCTGCTTGAGAGTCTGCCATCCTAGATACAGGTTTCTGTGAGCTGGCTGGGGGCTCATCTGGAGTAGAGGAGTGGTTAAGAAAATGGGTTTGACTGGGTGCAGTGGTTCACACCTATAATCCTAGCACCCTGGGAGTCTGAGGCAGGAGGATCTTTTGAGCTCAAGAGTTCAAGACCAGCCTAAGCAAGAGGGAGACCCCATCTCTACTAAAAATAGAAAAATTAGCCAGGCATAGTGGCACACATCTGTAGTCCCAGATACTGGGGAGGCTGAAGTAGGAGGATTGCTTGATGCCAGGAGTTTGAGGTTGCTGTAAACTAGGCTGATGCCACTGCACTCTAGGCTAGGCAACAGAGTGAGACTCTGTCTCAAAAAAAAAGAAAAAAATGGGTTTTGGAGTTCTACAGACATATGTTCAAATCACCCCTTTCCAGCTGTGTGGCCCTGGGCAAGTTTCTAAAGTATTTGAATAAAACTTTCTGTAAAAGACTGGTGTGGAGCTCACACAGACTCTGACACTCATGAACTCAGAAATGTTTATGTTATCCTTTCAGACTCTTGCTTCAACAAAGGAGGTGAGAGTCATACTATAGGCAAGTTATAAGGAGCCACATTAGGGAGACTCAGGAAAGCCTGGGGGAGATACATGTCTGGGTATGATCTGTCTCCGGCATCTTGAACTCTAGAAGATTGGGGGAGATGAGGCAGACAGGCAAGTCAGGACAAAGTGGTGGGAGGCACTGACCACCTGACTGGCGTGTGTTCTACTAATGTTACAGTGGGAAATGAGTGGCCCAGTAACTCCATTTCTGATAAGTACACAAGCTGGATTAGAGGAGGGGAAGCTGAAAACAGACTGGCCTGCCTGGGCATGGTGGCTCTCACCTGTAATCCCAGCACTCTGGGAGGCTGAGATGGGAAGCTCCCTTGAAGTCAGGAGTTTGAGACCAGCCTACGCAAGAAGTGAGACCCCAGCTCAGCGCCTGTGGCTCAAGCGGCTAAGGCGCCAGCCACATACACCTAAGGTGGCGGGTTCGAATCCCCAGCCCAGGCCCGCCAAACAACAATGA